CAGCCCCTGGGAGGGAGGACAGCCTCTGGGGAACAGAGCAGCCCCTGAGAGGGAGATGAGCCCCTGGGAGACCACTTCCTGGGAGACCAGCCCCTGACCCAGACCAGCCCCCTGGGGACAGACCAGCCCTAGCACAGCAGCCCCTAGGCATGTGCTTATCTGGGGGTGGGGTCTTGGAGTGAGCTGAGCAGGGAGAACCCAAAGACTCAGGTGACCTCTGGGCAGATGAGGCCACCCCTGAGGGTTAGGGGTCCTGGGGTGTAGCGTGGCTACTTGGGAACCCCACCACTCTGTCTCCCCCACCTGAGGAAGCCGGGGCAGATGGAGGCAGCTCCCCCCCCATTCAGCTCGGGGCCAGAGCACATGGCTGATGAGCTCTCAGCAGGAAACCCCGGGGCCCAGCCTGACCCTGGGTCTGGCTGCCAGGCCCACAGAGGCCCATCCCTGCCAGAGAAGCCTGTTACCCATGCACACAGGTGCACACACACTCACGCACAGACACACCTGCCTAATGTGCACACAGGTGCACGTGCACATGAGTGGTCACTTGCAGGGCTGTGCCCTGTGTCTCTCTTTCCTTCCACTGTCCCCTATTGAGGCCATGTCAGGAGGGAGGCCCCCACAGGCTCAGTGGCCTCCCTCAGGTGGCGCAAGGACCTGGGGACCCTACTTGACTTACGTATTTATAATATTTTAGAATCATTAGATTTTATTTATTTTCATGTGGTGCTGAGGATCAAACCCAGTGTCTTCCACATGCAACGCAAGCGCTCTACCACTGACCCCAGCCCCAGCCCTGGGACCCCACTTTAAACCCATCATTTCAGACAGTAGGCTCACAAGTGGCCCCATTATGTGAGCGCTCCGGCTGGTTCTCTACCCCCCATGCCCCATGTTCCTTGTCCAGGGGCCCCCTCAGAGGCCACCCTGACCCCAAGGGACCCCAGTGTTTCCCAGCCCCCACTGGTGAGGGATGGTGTTGAGCTGCTGTACACCCTTGGGTCAGTCTGAAATAGTTTAAAGTGTAAGAAGGAAAAACAGCCGGCACAGTGGCACACTCCTGTAATTCCAGCCCCTTGGGAGGCTGGGGCAGGAGGATCGCAAGTTCAAGGCCAGCCTCAACAACTTAGTGAGACCCTGTCTCAAAAAATAAAGAGGCCTGAGGATGTGGCTTAGTGGTTAAGTACCCCCTGGTTTCAATCCCCAGTATCAAAAAAAAAAAAAAAAGAAATTAAGAAAAATGAGGTGAACACAGCAGGTCCTGCGGAACCCCAGGATTCTTACCTGTGGGGGCAGTTGAAGAATTAAGATGACATCAGCTCTGTGACACCTGAGACACTCTAGTTTCCTTTCCACCTAGAATATGAGACTCAAGTCACCTCTCTCCATTCTCCACCCCTAAAGCTGCTTCAGAGGCCAGATCCGATGTCATGTTTTTCTCTGTAATCACTAAGGAACAACAAAAAAAAAACAGTGCCCCCTCCTGTGGCCGTCCCGCGCCCAGAACCAGGGTTGGGAAGCAGGCATGGGGCCTCCCCGGCCAGCCCCGCCCAGCCCCGGCCAGCCCCGCCCAGCGCCCAGCGCCCTCTGCTCCCACAGGCCCTACCAAGGCAACCCCACCTTCGACCCCGAGTTCATCCGCTCCAAGTCCACGGCGGCCGCGGGCCTGTGCTCCTGGTGCATCAACATCGTGCGCTTCTACGAGGTCTACTGCGACGTGGCGCCCAAGAGGCAGGCCCTGGAGGAGGCCAACGCGGAGCTGGCCGAGGCGCAGGACAAGCTGACCCGGATCAAAAACAAGATCGCGGTGAGCGCCCTGTGGGCCCATGAGGCCCCACGCCGCCTGCCCACGCTGCCTGCCCACGCAGTCCGTCAGGCCCTGTTTTGGGACTGGGGTGCAGCTCGGGGTAAAGCGGTGCCTGGTGTGTGCCAGGCCTGGGCTCCCTCCCCAGCATGCAGGAAACGCACCTGCTTCAGATGGGGGACACGGCCTGGGAGCAGGACGGGGGACCGGTGCAAGCCAGGGTGACCCGCTCCAGGGGGCTCCGGCCAGCCCTAGCCCTCGGGGGTGGTCCTCCTGTGCCAGGAGCTCTCCACCTGTTTTGGCAGGAACTCAATGCCAACTTGAGCAACCTGACGTCAGCCTTCGAGAAAGCAACTGCGGAGAAAATCCAGTGTCAGCAGGAGGCTGACGCCACCAACAGAGTGATCTCACTGGCCAACAGGTAGCGGCTGCTCCCAGGGACACCTCACCTGTCCCTTGGGTCCCCCAGAAGGGACCAGCCCTCAGAGGCCTTGGAGGGAGGAAATGTTGTGACTTTCTGAACTTTGGCGGAGGCTGGCCGGCCCGCCGCCCCCCTTCCCTCTGCAACCTTGAGGAAACTGGACCTTTGGCAGAGCTGCCTGGACACTGTGTCCACGGGGGCTCGCTCTGGGGCAGCATGCTCCCTCACGGTCCTCAGGGGACTGACGGGTCCGTGGTTCTCCCCATGGACACCCAAGTCTGCGGGTGCAGCACATAACCTACACACGTCCTCCCGCAGAGTTGAGGCCCTCCTAGGTCACCCCAAGGGTACCAGAGCCAGAGGTGGTTACTGTGCTGTATGTCCAGGGACCAGTGACAAGAGCCTGTGCGTGCTCGGTGCCTACACTATTTTTTTCCCAAACATTTTCCATCCGAGGTTGATTGTGTCTGCAGAAGCAGACCCTGTGGGGCGGGGGGGCTGGCTGACGTCATTACAGGTCCCTCTCCCCAGGAGCTGGTGGGCCAGCTTCCAGCCAGCTTCAGGGGTTGGGGCTCCAGGGCAGAGCGGCCCACTAGGAAGCAAATGTGGCCCACATCCGTCACATTAAGGCTCCAGCAGCCTCATCAGGAATGCACAAAGAAGCATGTGACACTAACCCTGATCATACGTCATTTAGCCCACAACATCTGAAACGTCCACCTTGAGCCCTGAGCCCCCACGTGTGTTGTCCCCCGTGGGCCCTGCCTCACCTGCCCCACTCAGTCACCACCGGGGCTCTCAGTGGCCATGGCGGGCAGAGTGGCTTGGGAGCTCGAGTGCCCGTGCCTCCGTGGTCACCTTTAGAGCCAGGCTCTTAATTGTGTTCTGCCCAGTGGCCAGTGACTGCCCAGGGTCAGCGTGACCTGGGAGCCCCCCAGGGTAGTACAGACTCTGCCCCCGTGGGGTCTGACCGACCTCTGCTCTGGGCCACTGAGAAGTGAGGGCTGCCAGAGGATGCCACCAACAGACCTCAGCCTGCTCAACCAGGCAACCTGGCTTGGAACACACGGGCCACAGCGGCAGGCACACAGGGCGCCATCAAGGCTCGGGGACCCTCCTCAAGCTGGTGGCCTGCAAGGTGACGCGTGTGCTGAGTCTCCCATCTCGCAGGGCCAGGTGCCCTCTGAATGCCACATGGTCCTGTAGCCACATAGTCCCTGCCCAGACTTCACCATCCATGAACCAAGAGGGGGTGAAACGGTCCGGTGGCATCAGCATAGACAGGCTAGGGCACGGTGCTGGGGGGACACCACACCCCAGGGTCCGTTTTTAGCTTCTCCAACGCGATCTCACGGTGGAGCCCTGTTCCGGGTGAGGGCTCGAGGGGTTGGAGACGGACAGCACTGAGGGCCAGCTGGCAGCCCTGCCCGACCCGCTCTCACGCCCCACTCCAGGCTGGTCGGTGGATTAGCGTCTGAAAATGTCCGCTGGGCTGAGTCGGTGGAGAACTTCAAGAGCCAAGGGATCACCCTGTGTGGGGACGTCCTGCTGATCTCTGCCTTCGTCTCCTACGTGGGCTACTTCACCAAGAGATACCGAAATGAGCTGATGGAGAAGTTCTGGATCCCTTTTATAAACGGCTTGAAGGTAAACACAGCCCCGTCCGTGACTCGGGGAACTGGGGAGGCCCGGGCAGACGCAGCCCTCTGCACCCCACTTCCCGGCGGTGGCTGGGCCCTTCAGGGTTTCGACATGGTGACGTCACTTCTGGCCGTGGGGCCAAGCTGCTCCTTCAGGGTGACACCAGGGCCGTCTCCTCCAGCTGGCCCGGCGCGACTAGCGTCTAACCATGGAGCGCACTGTCCAGTGAGTCACAGGGCACATTCCCCCGCCCTCACAGGTCCCCATCCCGATCACGGAAAGCCTGGACCCCCTGAGTCTGCTGACAGATGACGCAGATGTGGCCACCTGGAATAACCAGGGCCTTCCCAGCGACCGCATGTCCACCGAGAATGCCACCATCCTGTGCAACACGGAGCGCTGGCCCCTGATTGTGGACGCCCAGCTCCAAGGGATCAAGTGGATCAAGACCAAATACGGGAGCATGCTGAAAGCCATCCGCCTGGGGCAGAAGAGGTGTGTGGCCCAGAGCCAAGAGCCCGGCCGGACGTGTTTGTCACATGCACAGGGGGACCTTCATGGATGCAGATACACAGGCCCTGGTGTCCAGTGCCAGGGAAAAGCACCAGCAGCGAAAACTGCGGGCCCCTTCCTCTTGCCCACTACTGCTGCCCCTGCGGGGAGGAGGCGTCAGGCTGGTCATTTCTCATCTCGTGGTTTATGTTCCTGTCCCAGATGAGAGTCAGTGGCTGTAACTGTCGGCTGATGATGAGTGGCCTGTCCACCCTCCTACGTGCTCGGCAGCGAGGGGCAGGGACAGGCAGCGTTGGTCCTGCAGCCTTAAGCAGCCCCTTCCCCTCCGCTCCCCGGCCTCCAGCTCCTCCCAGGGAAGGACGAGTTAGCTGCTGGGAGGAGGAGGCTGCCTCCAGGGCACCCTTCCCCCAGGGCCACCTCTCAGGGACTGCAGCTGCCCCCTCACAGGCCCCTCTGCATTGACGTGCCTCTGTGCTGTGCCCGTAGCTACCTGGACATCATTGAGCAGGCCATTTCAGAAGGGGACACCTTGCTCATCGAGAACATTGGCGAGACCGTGGACCCCGTGCTGGACCCTTTGTTGGGCAGGAACACGATTAAAAAGGGAAAGTAAGTTGTGTCCCTCCTGAGGTTTAACTGGGGGAGCATCCCCTGGGAGGCACGACTGCCCTGGGGTGGACAGGGGCTTGCACAGACGCTGCCCGGTGTGAAGGAGGCCCAGTGCCTGGGGAGGCTGGAAGGAGCAGCAGTCCAGGGAGGACAGTCTGCACCCCAGGTACTAGAGAGCCCCTCCAGACGGGGCCCTTTAACAGTTTTCTTCTTTCTTTTCTTATGCATTTTGCAAACCTGGAGAATGCCTTCCCTCTCTAGGAGCCCTGGAGAGTCTGACCTAGTAAAGCGGGCAATGCGGTGGCCTTTAATTCCCTCGCAGTTTTGTGCAGACATCACCTCTGTCTAGCTCCACAGCGCTGTGCCCTAAAAGGAGATGCCATACCCACAGGGCGTCTCTCCAGGTCCCCTGCCTCCCAAGCCCTGAGGAACCACTGATCTGCTTCCTGTCTCTGGATTTGCCCGTGTGGACACTCCAGGGAAACAGAACCATGCATGCTGCTCTTTTTGGATCTGGTTCTGTTCGCTCGGCACTGTGCTTTCAAGTTCTTCCATGTTGTCGCACATATCAGTACCCCGTTCCTTTTTGTGGCTGAATGATATTCTGTTCTGTGGATCTCTCGGGTTCCATCTGCCCACTCACCGGCCGATGCGTTGAGCTTGTGCTACTCCTTAGAGTGTCAAACATGTAACTCAACTGTACGTGTGCCATGTCAGGGCTGGCAGAAGCTAGCTGTTGACACCGGGGTGTAGGCAGAACTCAGAGGGGGCAGGCCCACAGGATGGGGCCTAAGGCTCTGAGAAGGGCCTGGTACGATGCAGGTGGGCAGGGAGCCAAGTGAGTTCCATCAGCAAGAGGGGGAGCAAAGACGGGGCCAGAAGAAAGCCCCCCCCACGGTGTGGGTCAGCAGCCCTGGGGCTCCCGCACCACTGCCCCTCAGGGGGCTGGCCGGGTGCACTGGTGTTCTGAACTGGGCCTGAGTGTTTCTGCCAAGGCTCAGGGTCGCCCCGTGAGCAGCCAGGGGTGCGTAAGGCACTGAGCAAGGACAGAGGTGTCCGGAAGGCCACGTTCCAGGCCAAGCAGAGCTGCAGCACTTTTCCAGCAACCAGAGGGGGGCGGTTGGGCAGCAGCTGGCCTGGGCACGCCTCCGGGCAGGTAGGAAAGGCCATCTGAGCTGGGTCCCCATGGCTGGGTTGACCCCTGTCTCCACTCCCCGCCAGGTTCATCAAGATCGGTGACAAGGAAGTGGAGTATCACCCCAACTTCCGCCTGATCCTACACACCAAGTACTTCAACCCTCACTACAAGCCAGAGATGCAGGCCCAGTGCACCCTCATCAACTTCCTCGTCACCAGGGACGGACTCGAGGACCAACTCCTGGCCGCCGTGGTGGCCAAAGAGCGCCCAGATCTTGAGCAGCTCAAGGTAACATTCCCGATGGCTGGTCACACACAGCAGCACAGAGATGGGCCAGGAGCTGGGGGGCAGGGGGGGCAGGACTTTGAAGGCACTGGGTTCCCAAGTGTCTCTTTGCTTCTCTCCAAAGCTGCCCAAAAATACTGGATTGTGCCTTCTCGTCCAGTAGCGTCCACCCTCCCACCATGGCATCTCCTCACTTGGCTCCTACACTTAGTTGTCCATCAGTGGAGCGCTTCCCTGAGGAGTGGGCGTCATAGCTGTCCCTGGCTGGCTCTGAGGCTCAGGGCTGCCCTCCTGCCCTGGCCTCTCCCCAGCTCTGTGTAGCCACACACAGCTCAGAGGTGTCCTGCCCCCATCTCCCTGTTCTACCCCATGGTCTCCAGAAGAGGAGGCCTTAGGCCTCCACCACTCAGGGGACCCCACTTCCATCGGCCTCCCTGCAGGCCTGCTGCCATTCCTCTTGCTGGGCAGTGGCCGTGGCCAGGCTGGGGCAGTCACTGGGCCAGCAGGGGTGAGGCCAGGCCCTAACTGGGTTGCTGCCAGTCTCTGCTCCTGCTGCAGGCCAACCTCACCAAATCCCAGAATGAGTTCAAGATCGTCCTGAAGGAGCTGGAGGACTCCCTGCTGGCCCGGCTCTCCGCTGCGTCCGGGAACTTTCTGGGAGACACGGCCTTGGTGGAGAACCTGGAGACGACCAAACACACAGCAAGCGAGATCGAGGAGAAGGTAGGGAGCCCTCCCCTGCAGCCCCGGAGAACGGGGAGGCTGGGTAAGAGCACCAGGGCACCCAGCACCCTGCTGTCTGCTGCAGGGGACGGGGACATCCGAGGGAGCGGGGGACTTTGGAGAGGGTGGAGCACCTGCTGTGGCCTGTGGCTCCTGGTGGCTTGTCCACCTGCTGGTCTCATCCAAGCCCCTCCTGTTGGTGTTGAGGTTCAAGAGGCAAAAATCACAGAAAGCAAAATCAACGAGGCGAGAGAGAACTACCGCCCGGCGGCCGAGCGAGCCTCCCTGCTCTACTTCATCCTGAATGACCTCAACAAGATCGACCCCATCTACCAGTTCTCGCTCAAGGTCGGCTGCTCGGCTGCTCAGGCTCCGGGGTGGGGCTCCAGGGCAGGGCCTAGGGCACTGGGGACAGTGTACCCACGGCGCAGACCAGGTGCAGGCTGCCCCTGGGGATAGGGGGGAGCCAGGGCAGGTCAGTCCAGCGCCAGCACCCCAGGGAGGTCTATGTGGGTCCCTGCGCCCCAGCGCCCCAATCAGAACAAACCAGAGGCCACCACAGGGGTGGGAGGGCCAGAGTCAGCCCCGCGAGCCTCTGTGGCCCCCCAGGCCTTCAATGTGGTGTTCGAGAAGGCGATCCAGAAGACGCCCCCGGCCGACGAGGTGAAGCAGCGCGTGATCAACCTGACGGACGAGATCACCTACTCCGTCTACATGTACACGGCCCGCGGGCTCTTTGAGCGAGACAAGCTCATTTTTCTGGCACAAGTGACGTTTCAGGTAACGTCCAGCCTTGCTGCTTAGTGTGGTCTGTGGACTGGCCCCGTAGGCACTGTGTGAGCTAGCTCTGAGTCGTGGTGACCAAAAGACCCGACACGAATAATTGAGGGGAAAGCCAGGCACAGTGGCGCACACCTGTGATCCCAGCGGCTGAAGCGGGAGGATCATGAGTTCAAAGCCAGCCTCAGCAAAAAAGTGAGGTGCTAAGCAACTCAGTGAGACGCTCTCTCTAAATACAATATAAAAAATGCCTGGGGATGTGGCTCAGGGGTCAAATGCCCCTGAGTTCAATCCCTGGTACCAAAAAAAAAAAGGAATAACAGGATAACCAGGCAGGGAGAGTGGTGCACGCCTGTAATCCCAAGAGCTCAGGAGGCTGAGGCAAGAGGATTGGGAGTTCAAGGCCAGCCTCAGCAATTTAGCAAGACCCCGTCTGTAAATAAAATTATAAAAAAGGAATGGGGATGTGGCTGAGTGGTTAAGCACCCCGGGCTCCATCCCCTGGTACTACAATAAATAAATTACTGAGGGGACGAAAGTTCACTTTGGCTCATGGTTCCAGAGACTCAGTCTCCGGTCGGGCCCAGAGCAAGGCGGGACATGATGTAGAAGGACAGCGAGGAAGCAGAGAGAGGGGAGGGCCAGGGCAGATGCCCCCTCCCAGGGCATGACCCCAGGGACCCCCTCCCCAAGCCACACCCCCCCCTGCCCGCAGTTACCACCCCGTCTGTCCATTCCAGCTAGGGACTGACCAGGCTGCAGCTCTCACGGTCCAGTCGTCCCACCTCTGAGCACTCTTTGGGGACACCCGAGACCGTAACAGGCAACTCCCTTCCAAGGAGCTTGTTAGAAATGCAGGTCCTGGGGCCCCCGTGAGTCCAAGCCTGACACGGGGGCTCTATTTAGTGGGCCTCAAGGAAGTAGCCCCTGTGTTCTAACAGGAGATGCCCAGGGGGAAATGATACAAGGTAACTTTATAGAGAAATGTCATTTTGTTACATTTAAGTGGTGCTGAGTAGATAGCGCCACCTGGGCTTTGCGCAGTGGGTAGGGGACATTTCTCAATAAGTTAAATGTATGACTTACAAGAAGGAATGTTTGTACTCCTGCATGTACAGTCAGTCCTGCTGAAATACTTTTAAAAAGTTTTTTTTTTTTGAATGTTGGTCAAATGGCCTGTCTTAGCTGGGCGCGGTGGTACATGCCTGTGGCCCAGATACTTGAGAGGCCAATGCAGGAGGACGCTTGAGCCCAGGAGTGGAAGACCAGGTTGGCAACACAGTACGACTCAGACTAAAATGAGAAGTCTTAGTCAGCCCGTGCTGCTATAACAGAATGCCTGAGGCAGCAGAAAGTATTTCTTGTGGTCCTGGAGGCTGGGGAGTTCAAGATGTCAAGGTGCTGCCTCTGGCCCGGCCTTCTTGCCACATTGGAGAGCTAGAGGGAATGCACTCCCTGGGCACAGTGTGTCTCTTCACTCTGCCCTGGTGGCCCAGTCCTCTCCCATCAGCCCCAGCTCCTCACCGGTGCCCTGGGGATCAAGGCCCCTCTGTGATCCTCTTGTCACTGGTCGGAAACAGCTTCACGGACAGCTGCGGCACAGGGCAAACCAGCTGTCAAACCAAACTCCAGGTGGGTCCAGCAGACCTCTTTCCTCCTGCGCCTGGAACCCCAGGTTTGCTCTGAGCCTCTCCAGCTGTGCTGTCCTCGGGGAGAGGGCCCCTCAGGGCTGTGTCACTTTCTAGGCCGGGAGGCATTGGCTTCAGGCTCCAGGAGCCTTTGTTCAACCAAAAGAATGTCTGACTTGGGGAGAGAAAGGGGCCCTTTGTCACCTGACTGGAAGCTGTGACCCCAGCCCCGTGCTGTCCAGCGGAGACAGGGTGCCATGACCAAGCCTGCTGGAGGCCCGGGGCATGCACCCAGAAGGACTAACATCGGTGTCCGAACAGATTCTCGTAAGCTCTCATGGTCAGGCTTGTCACTGAGCCAAGAGGCCACGACTGCCAAGGGCCAACAAGCCCCGCGTCCACCAGCGGGACAGCGGGAGAGCGGGAGCCCTCCAACACAGGGAAGGAATGAAGCTGGGCTCGGGTGTGGCTCGTGGTCCGGCACCTGCTCGCACTAGGGCGGGGTTCCATCCCAATACCACCCACACAGGAGGAGCCTCAGAACAGGCTAAGAAAAGAACCATGATGGGCCCACCTACAGGAAGCGTCCAGAAGCCAATCCCAAGAGAGACAGTAGCCGGCTCTCCGGGGGGCCGGGGAGGGAGGGGAGGGCCTTCCTTTGTGGGTGATGGAAGGCTCCGGATTAGGGGGTGACGTTGGCAGTGCAACACTGGGAAGGTAGTAAGCGCCACTGAATGACACTCCTTAGCATGACATCTTCGTGCCATGTGAATCTCACCACAGTTTGAAAAACTCAGGTGTGGCCCCCACCCGAGGGGCAAGACCCTGGGAGCTCTGCTGACCTGGCCTGGGGAGCACCTCCGAGTGCCGGCCCCTCTCAGGCGTGCCCTCGCGTGCCCTCAGGTCTTATCCATGAAGAGAGAGCTGAACCCAGTGGAGCTGGACTTCCTGCTGCGGTTCCCCTTCAAGGCCGGGGCGGTCTCCCCGGTGGACTTCCTGCAGCACCAGGGCTGGGGCGGGATCAAGGTTGGTCTCTGCCCAAGTTCTGTATGGAGCCCTCTGCCCCGGGCTGTGGGTGTCTGGGGCTGAGCCACCAGGCTCTGAGGGAAGTTGGGGACCAGAGAAGGAAGGGGAGAGCAGAGGGGCGGCCACTGGGGCCCAGAAAGCTCTGTACTCCTGTTGGGTGTGACATCCACTAGGTCCTTGCGGGCCCACCTGCAGCCAGCAGAGAGGGGCCCACCCAGCGAGGCAGGACAGGCCCCAGGTCTTCTAGGGCGGGGACCCTCCCCCCCCACACACACCCCAAAAGCTCCAAGCTCAGGCTGCTCCTCCGAGGCCCAGACACGCTGCCCGAGACCCTCCTCCAGCCCCTGGTTTCAAGTCATTCTTTCCCCAGAGCCGCCCGCTCCTCCCAAGGCCACAGCTGCTCCTCAGTGAACAGAGGGATGACCCGGGGCGGGCGGGCAGTCACCCCCACCACTGGTCTGCCTAGGCCCTCTCAGAGATGGACGAGTTCAAAAACCTGGACAACGACATCGAAGGGTCCGCCAAGCGGTGGAAGAAGCTGGTGGAGTCGGAGACCCCGGAGAAGGAGGTCTTCCCCAAGGAGTGGAAGAACAAGACGGCGCTGCAGAAGCTGTGCATGGTGAGGTGCATGCGGCCCGACCGCATGACCTACGCTGTCAAGTGAGTGTGTGTGTGTGGAGGGGGGGGCCCAGGCTGGTCCCTAACTTGCCCTCCTCCTGCCTCAGCCTTGTGGCTCCTGCCACACTAAAGTCAGTCCTGGATGATGTAGGTTTCAGTCATTTGCAAGTGAATGGCTGACCTTGAAGACTTGTCTGGAGCTGAACCCTTGGGGGGAGGAGAAGGGCTGGGGAGGGAGGAGGCTGGGGAGGGAGCCCGGGGGAGCGGGGGAGCGGGCGGCTTGGTCTGCTCCTGGCCTTCCTATCTTCCCTAGCAGCCTGAATGCCAGGAGATTTCCCAAAAGACACCCACGTCCCTAACAGAATTCCCCTCTGACAAAGCAGCGGCCTGACTCACCCACCCTCTGTGATTATCCAAGACTTTATGTTTTGCTTTGTTTTCCACAAAGAGGAGAGGGGCCAGGAGTGGTGGGGAACAAGGTGGGGGGGATGGAACACATGCAGCTGTCAGCCAGAGCAGAGAGAGGCCTGCACTCCACAGTTTGGGAAAGACCCCCGTGTGGGGCAGGAATGCCCCTGGCCTGGGATAGCTTGGCATGCCTGAGTGCCAACTGGATTCCAAGTGTCCGCCCTTAATTGGCATCGTCCATACAGAAGGACCACTTGTCCTGACTGAGGAACCAGCTACGGTGGTCTCGGTCCACCCCCACCCAGGCACAGAGCTTAGCACCCTCTGGAAGGCCCTTAGGCCGGGATCACAGTGTCCATTCCCCCGGCCTGGGCTGGCAGAATTGGGGGGATAGCCCCTCTTTAGTCAGCATTGGTCAGGAAACTGCAGAACCTAGCTAAGGCCAGAGCAGGTGCCCCAGAGAGCTCGATGGCAGGAGGACGGAGCTGGAGCAGCTGGGCGGGGCTAGGACGGGACCCATTGCAGGTCTTCCCAGATGCTGGAGCACCAGACCTCGATTGCTGCAGGAGCAAGGCCTCAGGGGGGCTGGACATTAGAACCCTACCAACCTCAGTCAGAAGATTCCTCCAGAATGCAGTCAGCTCATGCCCTGTGACTGAACTCAGAGGATCCCTGGACACTAGACTTCCCATAGGAGGGCTATGGAGGCCTGGATCCCTCCTGAACTCGCTGGGCGATGGGAAAGAGCCGGGGCTTGGTGACGAGGCACAGGGGTTCGGCCACCTTGCCTTCACTTTCTCTGGTTTTCCATGTCTCCTGGTCCTTCACGCTCACCAACACCACTGATGTCAACTTCCTTCCCTCTCAAACTCCCACCCCGTGTGCTTTCAAAAACGGGCTGCATCTCTCTGTACCTTCTGGCCCTGCTCGAGGGGAGAGCTGGTCACCAGCCCCCAGAACAAAGGGCACCCTGACAAATAAACCCCGAGGAAAGCAAATCACACGGAGAGACGTGCCCGTGAGGGCTTTGCTTTCCCACCAGAGGCCTCTCTGCTGAAGGAAGCCCAAGAAATGGCCCTTCTCAGGGCCCCAGCCCAGCCCAGAATCTGGCCCTTGGTCCAGAGTGAGCTCCCGCCTTGGGTCTGACGCTGCCTGCTGCCCTCAGGAACTTCGTGGAGGAGAAGATGGGCAGCAAGTTCGTGGAAGGCCGGAGCGTGGAGTTCTCCAAGTCCTACGAGGAGAGCAGCCCCTCCACTCCCATCTTCTTCATCCTCTCCCCAGGCGTGGACCCCCTGAAAGACGTGGAGTCCCTGGGTAAGGCAGAGGGCCAGTGAAGTCCTCAGTCACCAGGGAGCCTCCGCCCCTCGGCCATCGGGATGGTTGGCAGGGACGGGAGAGACGGGCCCTTGGGCATCGCGGTGGGGGCCTGAGGCAATGCAGCCACTGCCCCAAACGGCTGCTCCTTGATGACCACCAGTTGACCCGGCCCATCCACTGCTGGGCACACACCCAACCCCCAAACCCACATCCAGACAAGCACGATAACCGAGAGGTAGAAAATCCATCGCTGGATGGTCAGCCAAACACGAGAGGCGTATCCACGCGGTGGAATACTGCTCTGCCGTGGAAGGGCCCGCCAGGGGGTGGACGGGCTTGACAGCACTGCGCTCAGTGGAAAGCCTCCAACTGCCTGATCCCGTTTATACACAATGTCCCAGATAGGCCAGTCCACAGGGGCAGAAAGCAGATTGGGGTATGTGTGTGTGTGGGGGGGGGCTGGCTGCTTGGTGGGCGGCAGGCTCCTGGGGGTGAAATGCTGGACCAGGTAGGGGGTTGCACAACCAACCGGGGAGCAGACCAAACATGCTCTCTAGACGTGTTGCCTGTCAGATGTGCGCGATGAGCGTTTCCCATGATAAACAAGGTGGGAGCGTGGAATTCCCGGCTGTGGACCCAGAGCCTGAGCCTCTCCACTGACTCATCGCTGTTCTTTTCCTGTTTTTCCTTTCTTTAGGAAAAAAATTGGGATTTACCATAGACAATGGGAAACTCCATAATGTGTCCCTGGGGCAGGGACAAGAGGTGGTGGCTGAGAATGCTCTGGACGTAGCTGCAGAGAACGGGCACTGGGTCATCCTGCAGGTGAGGAGGCCTCACCAAGGCAGCGCAGGGGGGCCCGAGGTTGTGCCCAGGACGACCCTGCAGTCATGGGTGGGCATCCCGTGGCTCCTTAAGGAGGGGTACAGCCAGGGTCAGCTCTGCTGGAGTCAGTGGGAGCGCGGGGGCCAGACTGCAGAGGGCAAGTGGGAGCCCTCCCGACGGGGGACAGACACTGGGGTTTGTACTAGCTGCCCCTTTAAGACACGATATTTGAAAAACCAACAGTCAACAAAGGCTCCTCTCATCCCCTGGCCCCTTGCTTGGGCAGATAGCAAAGGCCACACACCCAGTGTGTGCTCTCCACAATTTGGCCACCCCGCCTTGTCCTGGAGCCCCTCCGGGGCCCCTCCTAGCTCCAAGAGGACTGGGGACTGTGAAATCTCCGCCTTGTGCCGGGAAGGCTGCAGGGGACTGGGCACAGGTTGGAAGTTTGGAATAGCTGAGCCTAAGAATTGCTAGAACCACCCCCACATGCCAGGCACCTGCTCAGGGTAGATGGGGTGGGGGAGCCCCCGGTGTGTGAGGATGCCATCAGGGAGCCTGCCTGTGCCCGGGGACACAGCCAAGTGGCCGATCCTGGCCTTGACTGCAGAACATCCACCTGGTGGCTCGGTGGCTGAGCACCCTGGATAAGAAGGTGGAGCGCTACAGCACGGGCAGCCACGAGGACTACCGGGTGTTCATCAGCGCGGAGCCTGCGCCCAGCCCCGAAGCCCACATCATCCCCCAGGGCATCCTGGAAAACGCCATCAAGATCACCAACGAGCCGCCCACGGGCATGTACGCCAACCTGCACAAGGCCCTGGACCTCTTCAACCAGGTAGGGAGGATGGTGCACGCAGCCTCACACACCGCACACACACAGGTGCACACACGCACACACGTGTCATGGTGTGCTCCTGGAAGGCTGTGCAAAATTAAAAAGGACCAGGCACCACGGTCACTCGCACCTTCACAGACAGCGGCCCAGAGCTAACCCAGGCCTGCAGCCAGCAGCCAGCAGCAGCAAGCGTGGGCACAGGGAGCGCCTCTTCACGGGGCCCTAGGAGAGGAGGCCAGTGGATGGTCAGTCGGTGTCTGGGGGCCCAGCACTTCCCTGACCCCTGCTCCTGCCCTCCAGAGCCAAAGGCCAACTGCTAGTGGACTGTGGAGCTGATGGCTTCGGCACCACCCCCTCCCCACCTCCTCTGCAGCCTCCCACCACTGTCCACTGGGTTGCTGCTGCAGCCGATCTCTGGAGTCTGTGTCTCCCCTCTACACATCACGTGCTCTGCCATGTACTCATCTCCCATCCGTCGGAGGTTTTGAGATGAGACCCTGTATTGTCCTGTAACACCTAATGAAGATGGCGTGCCTATGGAGGACACTGTGCCAGAATGGACCACTTCCAAATTTAAGACACTTATGCTGGGTGCAGTGGTGCACGCCTGTAATCCCAGCAGCTCAGGAGGCTGAGGCAGGAGGATTAAAAGTTTGAGGCCAGCCCCAGCAACTTAGCAAGACCCTGTCTCTAAATAAATAAAATGACTGGGAAGTAGCGTAGTGGTAGAGTGCCTCAGGACGCAATTGCCAGTACCAAAATAAACACATAAAGAGTTCTAGAGGCCTGGGGCTATGGCTCAGTGGTAGAACACTTGCCTAGCATGTGTGAGGCACTGGTTTCATTTCCCAGCACCACATATAAACAAATGAAAAAACTAAAGGCCCATATGTCTAAAAAAAAAAAGTTCTATGAAAATATCTGAGCCACCCACTAACAGTTCCCGACCTACAGTTAAAGGAAACAGCATGGTCGAAGTGTAAAGAAGACGGGGAATTGAGAGTCATCTAAGCAGCCATCGCCATGTGCCTGGCACGTTGCAGGTGTGGGGATGGGTGATGCCTAGGGCACAACCCATGTGGCCAGTGAGCAGAGTCTGGCGAGGGGCATGGATGTGCCCCAGAAGTGGGACTCCAGTGTGCTAAGCGCTGCGGAAAGCCCGGGCAGCAGGCCGGAGAGCTGCGGCTGCGAGTCGTGAGGAGCTCAGGGCTGCCATCCAGAAAGTGCTGTGAGCCGCAGCAGCCGGAGCTGCCGGAAACCGGGCTCTGGTCTGCTTTGCCCTAGCACCTCACCTTCACTGTATTGGTCTCAGGGTGACACCCTGGGGTGTTGGCACAGGAGGCCCTGCCCTGGGGGCCTTCACCTCCCGCCAGCTCGGGCCCCATGCAGAACAGCTAATGCCCCCTGGCAGCCCGTGCAGTCTTCAGGTGAGACATGCTGTGCACGCCTGCTCACAACTAGCCATGCAGGTGTGGCACCCGCACCACCACATGTGAGGGTGGTGACAGGAGACAGGGATGCCCAGTTCTGTCACCGTCCAGTGGGACCGCAGGCTCGTGCCTGGCTCATGCTTGGTCAAAACAGTGGTCTGAGCCCGCGGCTTACTTATAGAGAGCGGGGTCAGTTTGACTTGTAATAATCACTTAAAAGCGACAAAAGTGCGTTTCTGAAAGGTCAGAGGGAAAGGAGACCCTGCCTGTGCCTTCCCTGAGCTGATGGGCCAACGGCCTTGTCCCCTCCACCCGCGCCCCTCTGCTCCTCGGCAGCCGCAAAGACGGGCTCTGTCCCTACTCGGAGGTGTCTGTATGCAACCATCCCCTTCTGCTTCCTCTTGTTAACAGGGGACACAGACCATGTCATTCTGTCCCCCACCCCCCCCACCCAGGACACCATGGAGATGTGCACCAAAGAGATCGAATTCAAGTGCATCCTCTTTGCCCTGTGCTACTTCCATGCTGTGGTGGCCGAGAGGCGCAAGTTTGGTGCCCAGGGCTGGAACCGGTCATACCCCTTCAACAACGGGGACCTCACCATCTCCATCAATGTGCTCTACAATTACCTGGAGGCCAACGCCAAGGTGAGGAGCGCGGTCCCTGTCCTGACTCAGCTGGCCACACGGGCCCTCCACCTGGCCTGCACTGACCCCTTCCCTTGCTCCCACTTGCCCTTTCTTTTCTGTGTCTAGTGTAAAAGGCATTAAGGGGGCTCCACAAACCAAAGGGAATCTAAAAACATGCTCATCTACATCACCAACCTCCCATGACACCCTTCCAATCGTCCCGCCGTGTGACCATCCTGCTCGCCCAGAACCCCGCACCCTAGGCAGCGGGATGGAGGATGGGCTTCGGCTGTGGGCTGGCTCCCTGTGCTCCTCACTTCCCAGACAGACCCAGGCCCTGGGGAGGGAGGGACACAAGGCAGCTCCTCAGGAAAGAAGGGGCAACACCTCCTGCTCTCACGACAAATGGGAATCGATACACAAAGTCAGATGCTCCGGGAACTGGGAACCGTCTCTAGCAGGGAGGACATGGCTCCCTGGGCTCCCATAGCTGGGGAAAGAACAGGGAGACTCCAGCCACAGGTGGATGGGATGGTCCTGGCAGTGTGTTACCCCTCCAAGGTGGGTGTCCTCGGCAGTCACAGATAGGAGGTGCGGGGAGATGCCAGGAAGGACCTGCGACTTTTCCTAGCCGCATCCTCCTCCTGGGCCCCTCCCCAGGAGCAATTATCAGACGCAGGCTGGCTTTCCTCCTGGGGACCCCCCCACCCCCACCCGGGTCCCCAGCCCTCTGTTCCTTCAAGGCACAGGTCACACTGCCTGCCAGGACCACCTGGCAAATGTCATCTGTATCAGGGCTACTCCCCCACCCCCAGGAGGAGGTAGCCCAGTGCTCCCCACCCTGGCCCGAAGGCCTGACCAGCCAGCAGCCTTGTCACGGTGCGACTGCCCTGCACAGGCTGGCTTCCTGGGGACAGGCCTGGCAGGTGTGGGAAACAGCCTGCCCTATAATCAGTCCCACTGGCCCTCCTGCTGTGGGAAAGGACTGTCCCCAAAGGGGGGTGTGCTCCCCACCTCAAAGCATACACAGAAGCTGCTTCCAAAGCAGCTCAGCTCAGCATTAACTCCAGATAATCTGAGAAAGATAATTTTGAAGTCAAAGTGGTCATTTAGAGGGCTGGGTGCAGTGGTGCCCACCTGTAACCCTAGCTACTTGGAAGGCTGAGGCCAGAGATCGCAAGTTAGAGGCCAGCTTCGGCAACTTAGTGAGAACTTATCTCAAAATAAAACATAAGGGTTGGGGATGTGGCTGAGACTGGGGCTCAGTGCTTATGTGCCCCTGGTTCAATCCCCAGTACCCCTAAAAACCTTAGGAATGATCTTTTCACCCACCCCCACACTGGGATGGTCCTGCTGCTCTTTGTAGAATGGCTGGGAGGGGGTTCTGGGTCACCCAGGGCTCCTGCTGCACTGCTGTGGCAGCCCCAGCAGCAGAAGCAGGGCTGGGGGGCTGGGCCTTTGCGGGTGGGGGTGCCCGTGGCCAGGCTCTGGAGATAAGGGACACAGCAAGCAGAGGCAGGCAGTGAGCATGGAGGCCCGGGTTAGAGGGCACCTGGCCTGACTAGGGTGGTGTGTGCACACTGCTGGGCCTGGCGTTTGTCCCCAAGGCCCCAGGAGGCCACGGTTTTGTGGGGTGAGTCGTTTGCTCAAAGTTCTCTGTGCTGCCACAAAGCCCTCTGAGGCCAGCGAGGCGACAGCTACTGGACTGACGGAAAAAGGAACTGGGGACCAGACGAGTTCTGTGGGACCCAAGGGAAGGTGCCCTGAAGTGTTCTGAAGACATGATTAGACTCAGTGGCCACGGGGGAGGCCGTGGCCCAGCCGGCGCTCAGCCACACACGGGTCACAGGAGGAACAGGCAGAAGGAACAAGTGCCCTGTAGGCCTGCAGCGTCTGGGGCACCAGCAGAGGCGCCCGAGGACATCACTGGGAAGGGAAGTCACAGGTTGGGAGAGCTCAGCCTGAGAATAGAGGGCATCTCCGAGGTGCTGGCCACTGTGCAGACACCAGGTCCGTGGTGCGGGGTCAGGGGAAGGCAGCCCTTGACCTGGCGGCTGAGCAGTCACTGCTGAACTCGAAGGCAAATGCCTGGGAGGCCAGCCTGGCCAGCAAGCCCAGGGCAGCACAGCAAGCCCTCAAGCATGGCTGACCACGCAGGCCTACCACCGTGTGAGAGGAGGGCGAGCACCTTTCCCTAACAGCTGCTCCCCACCACCCCAGGTGCCCTGGGACGACCTCCGCTACCTCTTCGGGGAGATCATGTACGGCGGCCACATCACGGATGACTGGGATCGGCGGCTCTGCAGGACCTACCTGGCTGAGTACGTCCGCGGCGAGATGCTGGAGGGAGAGGTGATGCTGGCCCCCGGCTTTCAGATCCCCCCCAACCTGGACTACAAGGTGAGCAGCGGCCTGCACAGAGCCACGGTGGCCAGCAGCTGAGAAGGGTGGCCATCCAGGCCTGCTTCCAACGTGGCAGTGACTGAGCCAAACCCCAGGCACACAGAACGAGGAAGGGGGCCAGGAGCTCCCTTATGTAGCTGGGAGCCATGCAGGGCCAGGGACCAAGTGAGGACTGGGCAGAGGGCAGGACACGCAGATGCTGGGGTGAGGCAGGGACTCGCTTGGCTTACACAGCTTACCTCTGCTCACACTGTCCCTCTTTGCAGGGCTACCATGAATACATCGATGAGAACCTTCCCCCCGAGAGCCCCTACCTGTACGGCCTGCACCCCAACGCAGAGATTGGCTTTCTGACGGTCACCTCAGAGAAGCTATTCCGCACTGTCCTGGAAATGCAGCCCAAAGAGACAGACTCGGGAGCAGGCACAGGAGTATCCCGCGAGGAAAAGGCAGGACCCTTTGTCCTTCCCCAGGACCTGGGGCCAGGTCACACAGCACAGTGCAGCCCCAGGTCACAGGAAGTGCCCCTTGTTAGCCAGGCACACACTATCCCAGTGGGAGAATGAGAAACCTGGGGTGAGGGTCTGCAAGCTGGCTGGCAGGCCCCCAGAAGCACCTGTGTCAGGCAGGCAGAACCTGGGTGAGCGGCAGGCATGGCTCGGGCAGCACAGCCTGGACACACTCAAGACGGTCGCAGACAGACCTCACTGATCGGAAAAGCCCAGAGTTCAGCATTGAACAAACTTGGCTTGTCCAGGCTCCCCTGGCCCCTCTCCTGACGGCCCAGTATCACCTACACCTAACTCACCGCAGACCAGCTCAGTACCAGGCTTCACAGTGGACAGACCAAACGTAGAGTGAACAACCTAATCTCTATTACCCACACCCCTGCTTGACCTAACAAGTGACATTAGAAAGCTCCTATGGACAGTGGTGGGCGTGACCATGCTAAGGGGTGGGACCAGTATGGTCCCCATGGAGGACAAAGTGACATCTGTGCCCACCAGCACATTCGGGCATATATGGAGGCACCAGGCGACGGGCGCCCGATGCACGTGGGCCAGCCATGTGGTCTGCCAGCGAGGCCAGAGCCCTGGAGAGCCTGCTGGCCACTGTCCGGTGCTGGGGTCCTGGCAGCCCCCAGCTCTTCCCTCTCCTCCGAACGTCTGGGCAGGCTCCCTGCCCCTGAAGCAGCAAGGAAGGGTCTCTCTGGGGTGGAGAGTGCTGGGGGTTAATGGGGACTGGCTTCCAGGTGAAGGCCGTGCTGGATGACGTCCTCGAGAAGATTCCAGAGACCTTCAACATGGCTGAGATCATGGCAAAGGCGGCTGAGAAGACCCCCTATGTGGTGGTGGCCTTTCAAGAATGTGAAAGGATGAACATCCTGACCAACGAAATGCGCCGCTCACTGAAGGAGCTGAACCTGGGGCTGAAGGTGAGCTGGGGGGCACCAGGCCCCGGAGGGACTTGGGGCAGGCTGACCAAGAAGGCAGGCTCCCAGCCACAGCCGGGACACGGGCACATTGTGGCCTGCCCCTTGTGCCCTGCTCTGGACCCAGGGTGTTCCAGAAGCCACGGGAACTTACCTTGACTGCTCCTGGCAGAAGGTGCAGGCTGTCTCCAGGGGTCCCACAGAGCCAGAGCTGATGGCTCTGGGCACACTGGGGGTGGCCTCCCACTCTCGTGGGCAGGCCTAAAGTGTACCTGAGCACATCTGCCCCAGGCCAAGTGGCAGAGCCTAAACTTCCCTGAACCTGCTGTGTCCCTCAGGGGGAACTGACCATCACCACCGACATGGAAGACCTGTCCACGGCTCTCTTTTACGACACTGTGCCTGACACGTGGGTGGCCCGGGCCTACCCCTCCATGATGGGCCTGGCAGCCTGGTACACGGACTTGCTGCTCCGCATCAGGGTAAGCAGTGCCTGACTCAGATGTGGAGACCAGAATGCCAGGGCTGTGCCACACCCCAGAGCCTTCAGGAGTAGAGCTGTGGTGGCCCTAGAGGCCCTTGGTGGCCGGGCCTCTGCATGAGCAGGGTGGAAGGGCCAGGCTCAGCCCCTCAGCACCTGACAATGCAGGGGCCTCCTCTGGAGGAGGAAGTCACACTGGTGATCACCATGAGCGGCAGCCCCCCACCCAGCAAGCGCCAAGAGCTCAGGCCTTGCGGTGAGCCTGGTGACAGGCCAGGTCTGCCTCCAGCATCGGCCATTCGCTCCCTGACGCCACTTTTCCCACTAGTCCCCCCTCATTTAAAATGGAACCAGACAGCAAAGCAAGGGGCAGGAAGGCGGTGGGCTCTAGGGCCACTCTCTGGAACACTGACAAGCCCTGGCCCTGCCTGCTCATCCTCAGCCTGTGCTTCCCTGCAGGAACTCGAGGCCTGGACAACGGACTTCGTCCTGCCCACCACCGTGTGGCTGGCTGGATTCTTCAACCCCCAGTCGTTCCTCACGGCCATCATGCAGTCCATGGCCAGGAAGAACGAGTGGCCCCTGGACAAGATGTGTTTGTCTGTGGAAGTGACCAAGAAAAACCGGGAGGACATGACTGCTCCCCCCAGAGAGGGCTCCTATGTGTATGGACTCTTCATGGAAGGTAAGGGGGGGGGCTGTCTACGGCTGCCCAAGGCCACGTCCACTCAGTCTCAGCAGGACAAGCTGTGCAGCTGGGGCAGCTGGGAGAGCGGTATTCTCAGGATGGGTACCTGAGCTCACAGCCTGGAGCCACGCTGACCACTAGTCAGTGGGGTTCTGAGAACCTGAGGAGGGCTGGAGGACACACAGACCCGTTGCAGCCAGCTGGCCTGGACGAAGCCAACAGTGCCTATAAGGCCAGCTCCTCCAGCCAGGGCGCAGGGCAGGACTGCTGTAGAGCAGTGGGCTCCCAGGCATGCAGGCTGGCCCTCAGCCAGGAGCCCACCTCTGCTGCATTCCTGTCCCAGCCCCCTGCCAGTCTCCAAGCTGCACGGTCAGGACTTCCAAGGGACAGAAGGCCTGCCCACCACCTAGTCTCAGAGCCCTGTGTGTCACACCATCCATGTGGCCAGGAAAAAAGGGGGGTGGGAGATGGAGGCACCCTCTAGAACTGGCCCCCTCATCCCTGAGGAAGGCCACCCACTCAGACCCAGAGTGGAGCAGCACCGCCTCTGCCAACCCTGCCCACTCCACAACTGCCACCACCCGACCCGTGGTGTCAGGCAAGGCCAGCGGGGGCCCAGGTACCCCATTTCCCACAGCAACCAATACAAGCACAGCAGCAGCCGTTCCCCACATTTATTTTGGAATTCCAGACAAAGTACAAACATTATTGAATATGATGAGTAGAAATGGCAGCAGTCTGGTTAAAGGCAAATAATAATATGCACACAGATGATTATTTATGCTGCATATATGTACACACAGGCTAGTCGTGACACACGAGGGAGTCAGGGAACTTGGTGATCTTCAGCTGGAGTTATGATTTCTTGCCACTGAAAGTGAGAAGGCCGACAGACGAGGCTCTGGAAACACCACAAATTTAAATGGATGGAACCCAAGAGCATTAGTGCAGAGCTGTTCCTCTCAGTGCACAGCAAGATGCCCAGGGCACCACAGCATGCCACCACCACCCACGGTGTCCTCTGTGGACACCTGCACCCCCTGTCCTTGGCACCTGGCCTCAACTCTTTAGGAGTCTCAGGGGCACTGACCTCCTTACAAAGGGTGTGGGGGGGTGTGAGGCCAGGCCTCTCCCTGTGGGCCCCTCCCCTCACTGCCAGCACACCAGACAAGACCTGTTCGCTGCACCAGGGCTGCCCTGACCCTCGGCCACGCTGTCCCTGCAGGAGCTCGCTGGGACACCCAGACTGGAGTCATCGCTGAAGCGCGTCTGAAGGAGCTGACGCCAGCCATGCCCGTCATCTTCATCAAAGCCATTCCTGTGGACCGCATGGAGACCAAGAACATATATGAGTGTCCCGTGTACAAGACACGCATCCGTGGCCCCACCTATGTCTGGACCTTTAACCTCAAGACTAAGGAGAAGGCAGCCAAGTGGATCCTGGCGGCGGTGGCGCTGCTCCTGCAGGTGTAACTGGCCACTGGTCCTGCGCCACGGCCCCACCCTGAACCAAGTCAACCAGGCTGCAATCAGAAACGCCGCCTTGCAACTGTCACCTGCTCTTTACGGGAAGCATTGGTTATTTTCCTCTTACATAATCGAGGTGCTTTGTGACTGAGTGCACCTGGACTAGCCCGAGGGGAGGCTGGAGGCTGGAGTGTGAGAGGCGTACAGATTAAAAGGCCTGCAGTCATTGGCTGTCTCATCCTGTTGGGCCCAGCGCCTCCGGCCTGCCAGAGCAGGGTGCAGCTGCAGCAAGGCTCGGCTCACCACAGCCAAGGGCAAGCACCCTGCAGACCAACCCCCAAATACTGACTCCTGGGGAGGAGGGGGGGGTTGGAGAGTTGCAACCAGCCTGGGGCACAGCAGGTGCAGCCTGTGATCTGCTGATGCCCACGCACAGCCCCCCAATAGGTGCGCCATCATAAACAGGAGAGTCCTCTCCTCTCCCAAGGACAAGAGGGCCTCCCCACCCTCCACCCATGTCCACGCACAGCCCCCCAATAGGTGCACCATCATAATAAACAGGAGTCCTCTCCTCTCCCAAGGACAAGAGGGCCTCCCCACCCTCCACCCCAGGACCTAGAAGGGCACGTGGCTGCTTTCTAAAAACCACGGGTTTTTAACTGTGAGGTTGTGTCCCTGTATGTCCTGAGGGGGGAGGGTCAAAGGTGGGGGGAAAGACACTGTCTCTTGTCCCCACCCCCTGCCGTTCTGCAGGGCCAGTACGTAGAAGGATGTGCAAAGTCCCCTTGTGAGAGTGTGTGCAAATCCAGGCTGGGGTGGCTATTTTGGCCTCTACCCAATTCCAAGGCCTAGCTAGTGAGGACACCCTAAAAACTCCCCTGAACTAGGAGAACTAGTCCACAACACACCACCTGGGTGTGCTCCAGCCGCCAGCACCCGTCTGCCCCAAGGGAGTGGGCACAGAGGCGGGTGGCACACAGCCCCAGGAAGCCCGCCCAGGCAATAGGCAGCTGCAGGCTGCGTCCACTGAGTCCTCCAGCTGGCAGGAAGTCTGCAGGAGTAAGGTCCACGGGGCCCTGGGGCCACATCAAGACATCCCAGCAACACAGCCAGGCTGACTGGGGCAGTGGGGTGCAGATCAGAGAGAAGATGACTACTTAGAAACTTGGAAGCCAGGGCAAGCAGGTGTAGAGCCTACACAGGTAAGATGGAACCCAGGGGGAGCGTGTCAGGCAAGCATCTAGATAGAAATGGCGCTCCATCTTTTTCACATGCATATTCACCCAAACCATGGGTGAAGAAGTGGTGCAGGAAGTCTGACTCAAATCCAGAAGGGAACGCAACCCCTCGGGGCCTAAGGAAGGAAGCAGAATTGATGCCAATGACCCTGGCTGTCGGACACCCCCCACCCCTGCTGGCCAGGAGGGGTGACTGCAGCCGTTCATAACCAGGCCGCAGGGACAGAAAGACCGCCAATGGCCTGCCACAGCAGCTCATCTCTATTCCCCGGTAATAACCGCAAAATGTGAAGTTTTTCCAATTTTGCCTTTAGAGCCTAAAATAAAACAGTAATTTATTCCACATGTGCGTATTGCGGGTAGTTGAGAAAATCCTCTCCAAACTTTCCAAGAGATGATTCACCTTTGGGTTGTCCACCGTGAGGGGAAAGCATGGTTTGGAAGAGAAACCAGGGGGCCTCCAGTCTCTGCCTCTCTGGAGCCTTCCCAGTACTCCCATTAGCAGGGACAGAGGGAGCAGGGGCACAGAGGAACTGCTCAGGCCAGGCTGCGCACGGGGGTGGAGAAACCCTAGGAGTGCGAGGGCTGATGGAGAAGGCCTCTCCACACAGAAACCCAGTGCCCCTGCCATTCCTGCGTCTTCTAGTCTGAGGGCCGCAACACAACCGGGGGCAGTGTGGCCAAGGCCCAACTGCTTAAACTGCAGCCATCCTTGTAGAAGAGTGGTGCTTGGGCCCTGGAGCCCCCACCACACAGCCAGAACCTGGGAAAGGTGGTCCTGGTGGCTGCCACCTCTCAGGAGGCCAGCCAGAAGCACGAGGCACAGGGAAGTTCTCCAGTCTGGCTCCCCTAAAGTCGGGCTGCCACTCCTGGCACGTACAGAAGGCTCATGCTTTGTGCAAGATCCTGACATGCTGAGACTGCGCAGTAAGTTCTAAAACTGGCTCAAGACAATGGATGGGGCGGATGGACTTCTATAAATACACAGGACAGGTAGATTCAAAATGCCCTGCTTGAGATGACACAAGACGAGCGCTGGCATTACCAACAATCACAAGGTGTACAGCGTACATGGACACTGGGGCAAATAGACAAACAAAACATTAAAATGAGCTGGGTGAGGCGGCACACACCTGTAATCCCAGCAACTCAGGAGGCTGAGGCAGGAGGATTGTAAGTTCAAGGCCAGCCTCAGCAACTCAGCAACATCCTGTCTCAAAAAATAAAAATAAAAAGGGCTGGGCTGGGATATAGCTAAGTGGTAGAATGTTCCTGGTTTAATTCACCAGTACACCTCCACATACACACAAGCAATTAAAATAATGAAGAAAAAAACTACAGGATTAAATGCAATTTTTTTTTTTAGATGAGGTTGTCAAGAGCCAAGGAACTCTACCAACAGAGAAGCATGTGCCACTATACCCCCTCACTCCCCTGTACCCCCAAGCTGAAGTCCTAACCAAGCCAACATGCGGAGGACCCAGGAAACCAACCCCATCTGGGGCCCTCCAGAGTGTGCTCAGGGTCCTGAGGAATCTGGAACACAGAGGGTCACTCCAGAGAGAGCCCACTCTCACGGCAGCCACCCACTCCCTGCCCAACCTCCAGGCATCAGGACAGCCAAGGGGTAGCTGGGGTGAGCCCTAAGGTGCCTGCCTGTGGGACCCAGCAGGTGGCTTTCTGGTAGGTAGAGCATGTCTTGACACCTAGAACATCACACCTCCCTAACTGCACGTCACACAGACGTCAGGGAGGCGGCAAGGCAGCAGCCCAAGGTCCAGCTCAGCCACCATGTGGTCCTGAGCTCAGCTGGCCAGAGCCCGCCCCACTCCTGGAGGGCTTCGTCCTCCTCCCATAGCTGTCTCCTGCAGGGTCCTGCTCAGCTAAGGGAAGGGAAGGACAGGCTCTGCCTCCCTCTCACCCAGGGCCTCACAAAGCCCTGGCACAGGAAGGCAGAAGGGGACTGCACACTGCTGACACAGGCGGCCCAGCACTTGGTGTGACTGGTACCTGATAAGAAGTGAACCAGCTTCCTAATTTAGCATCAGTCTTCAAAAACTTTGATGACAGCTTTCCACAATCCTACAGTAACCTCCATGTGCTTAACCAAGGAAGGGGTGAAAGAGCCCTCAGGGTTCCTTCAAGAAGGTCTCTGGTAGTCGGACCACCCCTGCCCTACCCAAAGCTCTCGGCAACAATGAGCTGAGGCGGTGCGAGAGACAGCACCTGGCGTCCTCAGAAGAAGTTCTTGATCAGTGGAGTCACCATCTTCACCCACAGCTTCACCTGCCGACTGGGCTGCTCAAAGGTGGCAGAAGACACCACACCTGACCGCAAGTAGAGCTGCTCTTGCTCCTGAGGAAGAGGAATAGACAGAAGTAGTTAGAGTCCCCTCCAGCACCAGGTAACACGGCCCTAAGACCAGCCTGGCAAACACTGTGTCAAGGCCAGAAAACACATGTCAGGCCAGAGTGTGGGGGTGCCCAGCAGTAGGGCAGGGCAGGCCCACCGTGTGCAGCACGATGCTTGTGGACTAGCTACAAAGCCCCATTGCTGACGATGCCAAGACACACCTCTGCATGTCTCCAACTTGGAGTGGAGGAAACACACCTGGTGGGAAAAACACTGTGGAAAGCTGTCTTGCCGTCACCTACGTCCATGACCAAGGGCCAATTAGAATAAGACATACTCCATATCTGTGTGAATACGTCAAAACAGACCTACTTTCATGAATGACTAAAAGGAACAGCAAAAAAAAAAAAAAAAAAAAAGCTCACTGTCACTAAATGAATTGGTGTATATCACAACGACAAGGCCCTGGGCCACGCAGCAGAGTAAGTGCCTGGCACGCAGTGCAGAGCACCCTCACTCAATTCCAGCACCACCAAGAAAAAAAATGCCTTTTACATAAGACACAGTTTTCCTTCCATCGAATTGGTAAAAAAGTCATCTTGTGATGTCATTATCCTGGCTGGCGTGGACTGCTGTGGAAAGGGGCACTGAGTCACCTCTCTGGAAGGCAATCTGGCAACAGGTATCAAGAGCCTTAAACGTTCCACTTGCAAGCTTCTCCCACAACAGCAACTGTGCACCCTGAACCAAGCACTAGGATGTCTGCACACAGACACTTATCACAGTGCACCGTGAAAGGAAAGACTGGAAACCACTGACACGCCCCAAGCTCCTTACCAGTACATCCACACAGCAAGACAGCATTCACAGCGAGACCAGCACATCCCAGGACGCTTAACAACAGGGCAGAACTCACAGCACACCTGACAGAAGGAGCTGGGTGTGGGGTATATGCCTGGCACTCTTGGGAAACAGGCTCCAGGACCCCACAGACACCAAACCCTGGGCATGCTCATGTCCCTGGCACTAAATGCACAGCCTGCGTGGACACGTCCCATGGGGGACTTCTGAATTCCACCTTACCTGTAGTATTTAAGGTACAGGCTATGTATAAATATTTGCCACACTGTATTGTTTGGGGGAAATCTGAACATGTTCAGTACAGACGGAATTATTTTCCATCCACTTTGATCCATAGGTGGTTGAATCCTGTGGGTTTGAAGGGCCAGCAGTAATCCTAATTCCTTTTTTAAAAAAATGTTACGCCTTTCCACGCATACACAGAATGAAAGGGAATGAGGAGCTCTGACCAAAGGCTAGTTTCTTCTAATTTTTCTTAATGTTTACACAAAATGTTTATTACTTTCACCTCTGAAACATGTGCACAGGCTTTGCCTCCGAGTGTGTGGAGGCTCTCTGGAAGGAGAACGTTACTTTCTTCAGCCATGTGCCCTTAGGTGCTGTCCTCTCCTGACTGAGCCTCAAGACCAGGCGCGGGACCAAGCGTCTTATCTAGGAATTCCAGGCTGTGCCTGCATCCACACCATCCAGAGGCTCCCGTCAGGATGACCAAGCACACAGTCCCACAAATGCAGGGCCACACAAGAGGGACACTGTGTGAGGGAAGACCAGGTCAC